TAGCCATGACTGCAACGACAGACTTACACTAGCACAACAGTGGCAGAAACCTGGACCAACAAGAACTTTGGTCTTCAGCATCAACAGCATTACTCCGAGGGTGGTATCAGTAGGTCAGGTCAACCACTCTTCAAAATGAAGTAAGTCAGTAGCCGCCCTGATCCATGGAAGACGGCAGCATACACAGCAGCTGGTCGTGGCAACCCAACAGCAGTATGGTGTTGGGACCGCTAGGAATATAAAAAAAAAAGGACACAGTTGAAGTCGCGTGCCCGTAACTCTTAACTGAGTAGTCCAACTCCAATGGAGTGCCGAAACTGCGTGCTTAATTATCAGCAAACTGACCCAAGCAGCAGTGCGTAATCGTCGTGTGCACTAATCAGAACAGAATGGCAATACTCAGCAACCTTCTTCGCAACTACAATGGTCCACAACAGCCTGTAGCTACGTGCAGCGTGGCACAGTACTGCACAACACCAAGGCCCGGTCTTTAGCAGCGGCCAAGCAGTGGCCCAAACACAGCAGTGTTCAAGGCACAACTGCGATTGGACCGTTGTTGTATTTTGGACCTCCCTTCAGTTCCTACGGCACGCCCACACTCACTCCCCCTGATGCACCTAACTGTTACTCTGGCCTGCGTTGGTCCGATCACCAGCATTCGATCTGGCGGAAGGCCACGCAGATGTTTTGCACGTGGCTCCACTATTCATAGCAGCTTGCAAGCCAAGGATGAACCTCCCCCTAGATTATGCAAGGACGCAGACCCATCTTCACGGCTTGGTACGTATTGCGCCGCTGCCTGTTTCTTGCCCGTTTCCCTCTCCTTTCTCTCTCTCATAGGTGGATGCATGCGCCTCTCCCTCGACATCTAGCGCTGCTTGTGGCTTGACTCATTCGGCCAGCAAGGGGGCGACGGTTGATGACAATGGTATGAGCGTTCCGACGAGCAGCATCACGGTCACGACTAGTAGCTCAACCCCGACTGCAATGACCACGGTAGTAAGGCAACACGATCCGCAGCGTGTCGGCCACCATGAAGTCGTTTTGTGACGAGCACCACAGTCACGACTAGTGTGAACACGACACACATGATCAGCATGATCTCTTTCGATGTTGGGCACAGCCAAAGCCACGCTTGATAAAAAGTTCAAATTGAGAATGAACCTTTCTCTAATACGTAGTCAGATGCACGCGCATTGCTGCTCGTTGCTGGGCTCCGCAGCTTGATATCATAGCCCGACTTTCAGTTTCTCCCGCCTCGCCAAGTTTTGGTCCGCCTGGTAAGCACTTCCTTGCCTTTCTCTCTCTCTCCCACTTCTCCCATCTCACTACTCGGTTACCCTCCTCTACTTTTTCGGTTGCATTGTGCTTGCTCCGCTCGCTGTCGCGCCTTGTTTCAAGCAAAAGGAGGCTGAATCTACCGCTAGATCATGGAAACATGTGCTTCTTTGCAACCATACGTGCAGAGAGACTGAGAGAGGCTACTTCAGTCGATAGGATGAGCAAGATTGGAATGAATTTCCTGCTAGAACAAGGGCGGATACACCGTCCGCACCGTTTGGCCTGTTTGGTAAGTGGTGCTTAGATTAGTCCGCAATTTGGCACCGTAGCTCAACATTCGGCTCATCCTGCATCGTCTGTTCGGTACTTCCCATGCCGCGGTGAGTTCCCTCTCTCATACCCCGCGCACCTGGTCGTCCATACGACCGGGTTCAGAGTGAATTTCTGCGCTAAACACAACCGGATACACGCGCTCTTTCCCCTGATCTCATTCACCTCTGTCATTCCTTCTTTCGATCCGCCTCCCACCATCTGCCTATTCTCCCTGTCTATCACTCCATCTCCTTCCTTCCCTCTTCGACACCGTCTCCTTCGTCCGCCATGGCCGCGCACCACCTTTCCTTTCAGCCTCTCCTTTTAACCATTCCCCCGTCATTCTAACAGCGCCATCACATTCGCTTGAGGTAAACAACCCAGATTAGCTCTTTCCCTCGCTCGATTTGATTACGAATCGAGCGAGATCTCGTCTTCTACTCCCACTATATCGTCTCCGACCTACACCTCCGCGCTACTTCATTTTCATATCACTTCGTTTCCACAACCTAACTTCACAGGCGAACTCGCCTTGTCAAAAGACCCTACTTTGTCTCTTCCTCCGCTCGATCTCAACAAGAACAGAGCGAGGTCTCAACTTACTTCTCCTATCCTACTTCTCAACGGTTAAATTTTTGCGCTGGTCGCGGCTCGCGCAACGTTCTTTTAAGATTCCAACATTCTCCTAGCTCGCACTTCCAAGCGAGATTATTAGTTTATATTGACTAACCATCTAGCTAGCCTAAGGCGTGCCCTCTAGACGCATGCCCACACACTCTCTAATCCAATCAAAAATGCGAGTGTCACTCCCAACCTCTGGGAGTCGGTTGTGGTCATTCAGAAATGGGACATTCTCTCAGATATTGCTGGAGACGCATCTTCTGTGAGATGCAAAAGTACGCCTAAATACCCTTGTAAGGGTGTTCGGGCCGACGGTTTTTCGGACCCTATTAAGCGACGCCCCCGTCGCGTCCGACAATCAAAACTACAAATTCAACAAAATGACATTTGCTGACGAGGAAGTAACCAATCCGATTCACCGGCCCGATTTCGTTCGAGGTATCATCTCAACATGATCACGTCACGGTGTTCCACTGCCAGGGTTTTAACCTGGGCCTCCCACGTCCTGACCTCGGATTTAGGGGATACTGCATTCCGTACTACAACATACTACCCGCTCCCAGGTAGTAGGTTGATAGTCCTCTCCCTTCGCCGTAGACATCTGCCAGTTCATCGTTGGATGTCCTATTTAGTCATCGTCCCACGTACGGGGTCGTAACTTAGGACGCGGGCCCTAACCGATACCTCTTTCGATTCCGGGGCACCTTTAGTCCCCAAATGGTAATGCTTACCATCTCAAATATCCAATTGCAATGAATGCCCATCTTGGAGTCTAACACAGGTGGCTTCAGGTTTCCATCTTGGCCCACCATGGAACGGTCGATCACGCCGAATCCACGGCCCACCGCGTTTTTATGTAGCGATGGTGCCCTCATTGGTTATGCAACGATAAGCAATTCTCCCTACCTGGGAACCCGAAAGGGTTCCGACTCTTGACTTAATCGACCCCAATGACTTTCCCTCTAGCTAAGCTTCTCCGGGCGACCGACCCTTCAAGACTTAACTTTTGGTGAGCCATGGTCCCGCTGCCAGGTTGTGCCAGTCAGCGGCCCTCGCTGGGAGTTAGGTTCTACAGTTTCAGCGATGCTAAGTATAGCCCCTTAGCTTGGTCTCACAAAATATGTCCCTTAGACCGACTTCATTGTGGTCTGGCATTCTCTCTCAAAAGCTTTCAGCATAACCAAAGGATCACGTACCAACTGCCCACGGGACTACGTGCAGGGATATGGCCTTTCTTAACATTCCAACAAAATACTCAATAAACCCACAAGGTCGCGCCTCCCTTACTTTGATCAGGGCAGGTAAGGTCACACGTCTTAGGGACATCTCCCAAATGCTTTCCAGAATTCCATTACAATTGCCAGAAGTTTTCCATCCATAATTTTTACAAAATTTTTGGCCTTTCCTCGTCAGACTTACATACACATAAAAACTTCTCATCGTTATAGCATCTCATCGGAGTGCTCTTCCACAATTTCACTTTCACATAAGAAAAACCCAACCAGCCATTGAGTTTTCTTCTTTCGACTTTTTAAATTACACAAAAGACACAACTTTAGCTATGGACTTCTCATTTATCATCGCTCATGCCTTTACAGATTACGACATAAGTTTTTCTCTCAGACAGACGTGAGGTGCACTTTCTTTCACTGTACTTATGACTTCGTCTGCCATTGTGACAGGTATGCCTAAGTACAAAGGAAGATGGTGCAGATCAGGTCATTTCAAAACCTTTACTTCATCACAACAATCATTCATATGGGCAGGTCCACAACCATAGAGTGAGTGTGACACACCACACAAAAAAAAAGATGTATGAGACCCACACATGTACATAGAATGTGGGGCCTTGCGATAAGCAAAGGCTCATGTCCATATCGAAAGCTCAAAGTATCGTACAAAGGGTCACAGTATCCAACAAAGAATCAAAATACCCAAACGAAAAGTCAAAGTAAAAAGTCAAGGTAAAAAGAAATCAAGATCTCACACTGCTCTGAACGAGAAAGAATCATAAACCCACACAAGAGCACTATCTAAGAACATTCCACACCACACTAAAGAAAAACGAAAAAGGTAAAGTAATCAGAGTCACACTCAATGTTACCCTATGTACAACTAATCCAGAAAGTCTATGATACGAAGGTAAACATCTCAAATTTAACTCTAGTTACTGATGTACATGGGTGTGATCCAATCCTCCATGTGTCCTCATATATACAATAATCCATCAATTACTAAATCAGAAATGTTTTATACATGCTAGCTATAGATCTTTCCGGACCCTATCAATGAACCCTACGCCTAATCACTCATGACCATCTGCAGCTGCCTATACAACTGCGCCCTTACCCCATCACGAGTCCTAAGAACTGGGTTCCCATCCCTATCCCTCCACCTCCCGGATGAATCTCTGGTACTAACCAAACCATCTCCCTCATCTTTGAGGCTCTTGGGGCAGTCGTAAGATCGACGTCTGCCCTTCTTGCAGTAGAAGCACTTGCTAGTCTGCTTTTGCGACACCTTGTCCCCTCCCTGCGAGGGTACAGATGAGGGGGCAGTCGTGGCCCCACTTGTGACCTCCTGTTGGGGAGCCTCTTAAGGAGTAGGACAGGCCGCTCTGTCGTCTGTCTGCGTCACCTGCTCATCTCCTCGTGCCTCTGGCTCCGAAGCAGTAGCCCAAGATCCCAATGCCTCCTCCAGTCCTGTAACAAGAGGCATACCCTGAGGTGTGGTCGACTCCTGACACTCCTCCAAATTTTCTCCCTCAGCCATGACTTGCCCTCCAGTCTCCTGAGCTTCCTCCACCCTTGTAACTTCTCCCTGAGTGATAGGCGGAGCGCCTTCATCTCCAGTGGCCTCTACTTGCTGCGTGCACCTGCTCAAGTGCCAAGATAGAGGGCATTTGCCATTCAAATTCATTGCCCTCTGCCTCCTTTCTTGTGGGTATCTCCTCAGGCTGCAACATCTCCTTGTCTAGCAAGGGGATCTCCTCACCCTTCTGCTGACCTGCCCCCTCTTCTTCCTTCTGGCACTTGAAGGCTTCTTCTGCGGGCTGTCCCCTTATCTCAAACGCCTGAACCTCTGTCCAGTCCACCACTGCAGTGGGAGCCTGCTGTGCACACCTGGCCTCCAGGTCCTTAATCCTCTTCTCCCACTCTGCTTCTTTCGCCTGAAAAGAAGTCTGTTGCACCTGCAAGTAGGCCCTCAGAACGTCATTGACCTTGTTGAGGGTCTGGTTGACCTGTCTGATGGCCTCGTTGCCTGCCCAAAGCTCAGTCATTTCTGCCTTTATTGCTTCTGTTTCCTGGCTTGGCTTTTCCAGCTCCTTCTTCAGGGTGTCTACCTCTCTCTCCCAGTCCATCCTCTGTGCCACCTTCGTCAGTCTTTCCCCAACCTTCTCATCTGAGGCCTTGGCTGCCACAAAGCCCTCCTTCATAAGGCCCTTCAGGCTAAGCAAGTCTGTGGAGACCAACTTAACCCCCATCTCCTGGTGATGCTCTCTAGGTCCCCCTGCAACCTCCAACAACTTGTCAAAGGTCTCCCAAGCCTTCGAAAGCAGGGGAGGATCCTCCTCTTGAATGCAGACTCTCTTCCCCTTTCCGTTCCTCAATTCCACAGGATGCTCTCCTTGCTTGATCTTTTCATGCATTTCTGCAAGGTTTTTCAACCTAAGTTGAATTTTGATCTCCTTCTCCCTTGCAGCTATCTCCTTTCTGTCATGTTCCTTCTCCATTGCAGCCTGATCCTTACTCTGCTCTTGTCCTTGTGGCTCATGAGGCAGCTCTTGCTCCACGCCTGACATAAGGCAGTCCTAAGCAGGCTGAGGGGGTGCATCTGATCCACCTGGTGCCCCTCTCTTCTGACTCCTCTCTGCAGTCTGCCTCTCTGTCTGATGTGCCCTGTCAACATTCTGCTCCTCTCTCCTCTGAACCCTCTCAGCATGCTGCTCCTCTCCTCTCTCTTGCCTGTGGGATTTGTGCTCTCTCCTCTGTCCATCCCTCTGAGTGCCTGAGGTCATGCCCTGCTCAAAAGTCCTCCACTCTGTAACCTGTGGCTCCTTCCTCTTCTTCTCCATACTCCTTCTCTCCTCAGCCAGACGTGCTGGAGTATAGTAGTTCCAAAGTAATTTCTTGCAATGGCCCTAGCTTGTGGCAGGCTCCACAATAGATCTGACGAAGGATCTGAGGTGCCGCCTCACAAACAGGAGAAAGCCTCCCACTCTCTAGCACCGGTCTTCAAAGTTCCTATTTGAGAGTTGCTACTACCACCAAGATATGCAGCGGGACCTGCGTCACCTGGGATCACGCTGCAAGGGCTGCGGGCCCCGCACCCCTCTACTCTTCACGACAGCCGAACATAGGCCACACACCCGGCATCATGGGACCAGCAAAGTACCAATCCGCCACTGCTGCAGGCACATAGGGCCTTGTCCCATCTGAAAAGGCACAGCAGGGCGACCCGAACCATGCTCAAAGCCTCGAATTTGGTCTGTCCTAAATCTGCATATTTTGCAGATTTGGAGTCGCAGTGTAAGCATTCCCGGTGGGACCAGAGAGATGCTGAACTGTGCCAGGGCAGAGTGGCCCAGGGCGCAGCGGTAGCTAGCTAGCCACATGGAACCCCTCCCCATTCTGCTGTTTTATTTTTTTTTAATTTTTTTTTAATTTTATTTTTTTGATGTTTACTTATTTGAGTTACCCCTTTGGTTTCAGGTTGGGATGCGGCCCAGGCGTGGGTTTCGAGGCTGGCAGAGGTACCAGTAGG